CCCCCCCTGCCAGAAAATGCCTGAAGCCCCCAACAGGAAGAAGTGCAAGTGGTTCTCCATCGCTCAGTGTCATGGCAGCACGTTGGAGGACCAGCCCCAGGGAGCCAAGCACGCACCCAGAGACAGCCCAAGGCTCACGGTGACCCCCTGGAGCAGCCACAGCCAAGCACACAGCAGCCTGGTGGCTTCTCGGGGGAGAAGCAGACAAGGAGAGGCAATGTGCAATTTGCACACAACGTCCTGCCCAAATCCCGAAAAAAAAAAAAAAAAATTAAAAAAAAGTAAATTTCACTGCCCGTCTAGGCAGGCTTAACATGTTTGTCTCCAGCAGCCTCTGCACAAACGGAGGAGACAGCCCTCCTGTTACTGAGAGCTCTGCCGAACACGCAGACAGGTAAGTGACTGCCGGTTTCCATGTCACCAAAGTTCAGCCATGCTGACTTTGCAAAGAGGCTTTGCAGGCCCATTTAACACCAGTTTAACACCGCAGCATCTCTCAACAGCCAGCTCCTTCCTGAGCCACAGGCAATACCCTGAGAACTACAGACTCAGGGCAGATGGCTACACCTCTAGTAGCCTTCAGGTCCTGCAAGTAATTGAGCAACCAGCAACAAAGGCAAGGAACAAAGTAGATCTCTTGGTCTAAACCTTAACTCGGCATAGCTGCTGCAAGTGACATGGCCACAGCAGAACTTGTCACTTTATTTTCCAGCTGGCATATCAATTAGATATTGGTAACTCGTGTACCTTCTTAAAATTTCTAAAGCAAGACCTAGATAAATTTCCATATGAATTTAAACAGTTTTAAACAGAGGAAGCAATTTAAACAGAAAAAATTTAAATTAAATTTAGTGACTTGCTGGGAGTTCCCTTTATTATGCAAAAAGAAAATCCTGTAAAACCCAATTCACATTTTGCTGCTGGCTCTTAATGATTTCTTTATTGCTCGGACATGATAAAGCAGCTGGGTCAATCATTCTTCTACATTTTCATACCTCCAAGAACCTAACATTTATTTCCATACAAAATCATTTAATAGAAAAGTGTCGGTCATCTCATAAAAAAAAAAAAATAAATGTAAGTTTTGGACTTGCAATTTTTGAGAGTTTCCTACAAAAGAGCCAGGATTCTGTTTCAGCTGCTTAGGTCATATCTGACCCTCACTGGAGCAGGAGTTCAGAAGTAACAAACATATTGAAAAAGAGGCAATATAATCAAATATTTGAGACCTGATCAATTCCCTTCTCAACAGATGACAGCGTTCAAGATCATATGGCTTGATCTATAGCTATCCAACACGCATATACATCCATACACACACACACACTGCATGGGACCATATTTCAGTAATAACGGCATTGTTTCAAGCCTCATCATCTCAGCCTGCTTTCTCTTGTGCTCCCACCCAAACGTGAGTAAGGAAACTTTGACCATGTTAGTCCAGAAAGAATCACAGAGGCAATAAGCAAGACCCGGTGGCAGGATCCATTTCCCTCTCATTCTGTAACATTTGCATCAACTCAGCTTTTTTTAGTCCCGCATACTTTAGGGAAAGCCTCTTAAAAACAACCCTGAGATAGTTTATTTTATCTTGTTATATTTAAGTGAACGCCCCTTCTCTATTTAGTTTTCAGGGAAAATGCTTATCATCCCTGGCCCTGGGGATGTGGTAGATGGCAGTGCCTCCCCTGTAGTTTAATCTCAAGGATGCTGTGTAATCCGGTGCCTCTCGTATTAATCTAGCCATCGCTACACCTAAGGAGGCTGACCTACAAACTACTTACAGATCGCCTGCCGCTGAAGAATGCAAGCTGAAGTTTTTTAATTCATGTGTCGGAGAACAAGCTGAGAGCATGAGCTGAAGCTTTTGCGCTCCTCCAGTTTACACTGATCAGTGCCTCTTTGTGGCTGCAGTCCTGCGAATCCTTAGCACGCATGCACAGCCACAGCAAAGCTCAGCACTCTCTTACGTGTTTGCAAGATGCTGTCAATTCCTTTCCTTCCTCCATGAGTCAAAAATCTTTCCAAAGCGACTCCAGGAGGAGAATGACAAGGTTAAAGCAGTGAGGTAGGCAGGACTCCATCCACAAGTGGCTCCTACACCAGCGCAGAAACTAGAGCCCAAGTTTCACCTTTCCTAAGCGAGGGCCAAATCAGTAGGCTGGAGTGGGAAGCGTGTAACTTCTCACCGCTTTTCGATCCCCTGTCCTTAGCACTGTCTACTGACCATCCTCATCTTCCTGCTTTCTCCTCTGTTCTGCACCAGACTTTGTGGACCCTCAGCCCTCCCTTCAGTGTGCACTGGATGTCAGTACCTCGTGGTGGATCCCCCTCGGTGGCAAGGCATTTAAGAGGCAGGGCCTCAAATATTCAGCCAGGCAACCCCCTGGCTATTTGGTGACCCAGTGTCTTCATACAGTCTCATACCAAGTGATACCACGACCGGTGACTCATACACTGCCCTCTGGGTCAGCAAAACTGTCCTCAACACCCTGTCCACCCATCTTCCCAAACTGGGCTGACCAACACTAGATAGTGTTTGTTGGAATAGCAGCATTATGGATCTGAACTCCAAATTTAGACCTGAATCACCTCAAATTTGTTTGCAGCCTAAATATTTGCTCAACATTATTTTTCTGCATTTAGATTTAGAAAGAAAAAAAAGGAAGACGACATTAAACCTACCCATTACTGCTTCCAGGTTTTTACAGCGGCTTCCACCCACACCTCAGAGAAGAGCTGCCAAAGTACAGCAACTGACCTGTGTTCACTGAATTTAAAGGCCAAGGGCTGATCACTGAAAACTACCTTCACATGTTTCCAGCCCAAAACTCCATTCCCAAAAGAACTGGAGGTTTAAAAATGAAACCCAGGAGTGAATAAAAGTAGCCTGCTGGCTGACATGATCTCCCTCCTTGTTAGGCTTATTGGTTTGATTAAGTGCTATGTTGAGCCAGCTATGCTAATTCTAGCTTCAAAAGAAATTAATCTCTGCTAGCCACATGGTCTCCATGGCCACTATGGCTAGCAGGCTTTGTTCCCAGCAGTCTTCTAATGCAGAAGTGAAAGTCACATTAACGCATTAGGTGTGGGCACAACTTTAAGTACACCACGAACCTCTCATCTGTGCTCTAGGGCATCTTCTCTGGGTCACAAACCACAGCGTTAAGCAACCTACACATACTTGCTTTCCGACTGCCTTCATTTGCATTAGAATCTGCCCCATGAGGATGCACATGGTCCTGCCGAATGTGATTTGTTTTAACCCGAGTGAAGCAACTATGTGGGTATGCTCTGACCTTCTGTCACACTTTTCAAAGAGAAAAACGTCTTCCATCAGCCGGAAGATGAAAGAAAGGGAGTATAGTTTGGAGTAAGATGGCTCATGGGCTTATTCTCTGGTACCCCAAACCTGCTGGCCTTTCACTGATGGGTCTTCTTCAAGCAAGAAAAATATCTTTTCTTCAAGATCTGGCTGAAGCAAGGTAATACCCGTTACATTTTAGATAGTCTACTCACAGGAGACTGTAACCGCACATTTGACATTCTTCTTCCCTTTCTCTAGAGAAATCAGCTTGTGGCTCAATTAAGGAGACTAACCTGCATGACCCATCTCCCTAAAAAGGCCAGATGAGGACAGCTGTTCTTCTTCCATCTCTGATAGTGGTTGAAGCCAACCAACCAGGAGCTTCCCTTCCTTTAATAGGAAGAACATGTATCTATAATCAAGCATCAGGACTGTGGATATTAGCTGGATTAAATGGTTTAGTGGGCTAAGGCAGAAGGTGCTACTGAATTAGAGCATCCCTACTCCATAGCATTTAATATATTAACATCCTTTCTGGTACTGTATTGGGAGGCTTGGTACAAAGATTTCCTTTCTCTGATGCCAGTTGCAAGTCTGCACAACTCTTCCTTTGATAGTTCAAGTGATTAGGTGTTAACAAGAGGAACCTAGGCACTTAACACTAGGGAGTTTCAGCACCAGGTTCACACCCCTCTCCCTCTCCCTACTCAGCTAAGGGATTTTTCTCATTCCTTACTAATGTTAACAGCAGGTACTTAAAGCAATTAGACATTAGTGCCTCTCTGGTCTTTACTACTTCCTAGCTTCGTATCAGCTACCTTGTATGCAATGAAAGAGCTGAATTAACAGGACTGGTGCAGACTATTCTGCTTTCTTTCTTTATTCTGTATGAAAACACTGGGTCATGGAGCCACATGGACAGGCTGTGAGCTGCAGTGCTTTAGACCATTATTGCCAATTGCCATGGTATTTTACAACAGGAAAAACCACAGGTAGTAAAAGAACAGACATACGGAGATCATACAGAAGGTGATGTGGGGAATATGGGTAGACCATAGGGACATAAAGGCTGGAAGGATTTCACAAGTCCAGCAGAATAGCTTGCAGCTGTGCCTATGCTGTGAATTAGCTGCCACATGGACCTGCAAGGCACATAGGCAGCCTAGGGACACAGGTATGATGTGTTGCTCCTGTGAAAACAAAGCCCCATGTCTACTGAGCAGCTCTTGCTTGTCTGGGAATAACTATTGTAAACTTTTCAGCCTTTGCAATCCCTAAACTCTCTAGGGATTGCAATAAACTCCTGTCCACTTTATGTTTGGTGTTCAAAAAGAGGCTTTCCCCGTATTTGCCCAGCCAGGTAAAAGCTTGCCCTTTTTTCTTCTCTCTCTACCTTAACTCTTTGTTAACCCTTAGCTTTAGTACAGGACTCAGAGAATGATATATTTTCCTCCTATTCCCCCCCACCTCCCGCCCGCCAGTATTTCTAAGCCTCACTTTGTCATTCCCAAGAGGGAAGGGACAAGAGCTTTGAGCTCTTAAATCCTGCTGTCGGTTCTTGCCTGAAAGAGGTAAGTAGGGAAACTGATGGAAAGATGAAGAAAGGAGCCTGTCCCTTGTCAGCATTCACCTGTAATGGATGCAAAATGTGGGGTTAAACACCAAAACCAGACCCAGAAACAGAAACGAATGGGGTACTTACACAGTTTCATCATTCTTGAACTCCAGCTCCCCGTAAGTGTCTTCAAAGTCTTCTCCACCTCCTTTCGCTGTCCCTTCTACTGTCCTAAATGGCACTATGACTGTACCCCGAGCACCTGATGTCCTTAGGACTTTGACTTCCATCACACCAATGCTCTCACTGACATGTATAACATCACACTCAAATGTGAAGATACCAGCATGGTCATCATCCAGTATAGTCACTGTGGCCACACAAGGAGAAGCCAATATGGCCTTTGGGTATGGGGAGTTACTGAGCTCTGGAGGTTCCTCACTCTCCACCACACGGAGGTTACTGAGCCGCACAAAAAAATGCTCATCTTCCTCAAAGATGTCATCATCAATAATTCCCACCGAGAACTCCTTCTGGGTCTCCCCTGATTTCAAGACAACAGTCCCCTCTGTGAACTCATAGTCAGCACCAGCATTGGCAGAGCCATCCTCTGTTTTATAGTCCACATAGATGGTCTTGGACATGTCCCCTCCTTTCCGCACCACTGTCAGGAGAACGGCACCACAGTTCTCAAGACACTGGTAGGAGCACGGGTCAAAATAAATTTTGGAGATGAATTCCTCAGGTTCATCTGGCTGCACCTCATGCAAGCTGGTGCTCTTCTTGGCTTGCTCAGCTGCATGCTTCTTCAGAATATTGCCAGCTCCTGTCATCATTCTGGTAGCTTGAATGCGATAAAAGGCTCTGCTCTTTTGCTGATGAGACAAGGCATAGTAGTTAGCCATCTCTACCAGCTGGTCCAAGTCCTTCTCTGGGTGCTTTTGCTTCAGGTCCTTAAGGATCCGGATCATCTCTTTGCGAGATTCATCTACCTCCTTCCCCTCCGCAGTCACTAAGTTTCCATCTAGAAAGTGAGAGTTCATCATCTTGCCATCCATCTCAATTCCCTTCGGGTGATCACCTTCTGATTCTATGATAATGCCCCTGTGCTTGTCAGTACGGTACTTTTTGTGCATATACTTATAGAAAAGCAGACGTCTATCTGCTATCCAAGCCAGAAGGACGCAAAGTGGAAAGAAGAAAAGTGTGAGCAGACCTTCCCAGACCTGAACCACGCCTGGAGAGAAGACAGCAAGGATCATGTACAACCAGATGTAAGCAAAGATGCTCCACGCAGCTGTGACAAAGAAAACCCTCAGGTGTTTTATCTTTCTGGTTTCCCCATCAGGGATCACATAAACACAGATGGCAATGATGATAAACATATTGAAAGCAGCGCTGCCAACAATTGTAGATGGCCCCAGGTCCCCAGCTATGAATCCATGCCCACACACTTCTATCAGAGACAGAAGGATCTCAGGAGCAGAGGAGCCCAGAGCCATGAGGGTCAAGTTGGAAACAGTTTCATTCCAAATCCGAATGGTGGTCGTCGTGGTCTCTCCATTGGGTTTCTTAATCGTGATTTCTTTCTCTTGTGACGTAATGACCTCTATAGATGCCATGAAACGATCTGCAATGATGGAGACTCCAAGGAACATGTAGATCAGTGCTACAAAGTATACGATAACACGGGCAATTTTGTCCCCAAGGGATGGGTTTTCTGGGTACCATATTGGCAGGATAACACCTTCCTTGCAGTCAAAAGATCCTGAACACGAGTTGTTTTGTACTGAACTGGTTGAGTCTCCCGTCAGGCCAGCATCCACCTGCAAACCATGCAAAAACAGCACAAAAGTAACCAGCCCAAAATGGAGGAAGGCCGAGGTGACAGGCTGCAAGCTTAACCACGCCATACACAAGATGCAACTTCCACTGTGTAGATCCAAAAAGGCCGAGAACCTGAAACAAACAAAACAGAGAGGGGGGAGGGAAGCGTGAGAGAAAAGGAAGATGCAACATTTACCCAAACGTACTTCAGTATCTCACCACTGAAGAGTACTGGTAGAGATGCATGGGTTGTCTCTCTGTCACTCTGAAGAAGGTATTTAGCAGAGACTAACAAACTGCAGAATTTACATGCCCAGCAGATGAAGATCAATTGCTAGAAAAGTAGCTCAGAGGAAAAGTGTATATCTATATATTAGCCCACTCTTGACCTACAGCATGTGCAATAGGAGTACTGAGTGCTCAGCTGCCACTTACCTAATGATGCCACGGTGCTCACCAGCACGTAGCACTTCAACTCAGCCCAAGAAACCGCATCTAAAGGCTCCCCTGTTTCACCACCCGGGGGATAAGACAAGTCAAGGAATCACCAGCAACACAAGAAGCACCATTTAAGGTCAGCGAACAATCTCCAAATGAAGTCCATTCGTAGGACGTAATTTAGTTACGACTGAACCATCCCCACAGCCAGGCCCTCCTAATAGGCTGCAGAGTCTCCAGAAGGGTCCTAGGGCTCCCCTAAGCTTCGGAGGCACTGGGCCTCCAGGTTAGGAGGTAAAGATGTCAGCCCAGAAACAGGGCAGAGGCCTCATGTGCTTGGCAAAGTGCCAAAGGCCATTTCTCACTAGTCTTTCCTTTGTGATTTGAACAATCGCATTTTACATCAACAACCCTGCTTTTAAATACTCACAGAAACCTACAAAACCACCACAGCTAGAAAAAGCTGTGCTCGTGAACCTACAAGATAGAGCAAAATGCATGTACCCACCAACGTTCCCTCTGCATCCCTAAGAAATTGATATATTTTCAAATACCCTCTAAAACGACAGTAATCTCTAACTCAAAATACTAGGCAAAATCAAAGGAGTTGATAGATGTATCACATAGATTTGGCATGTCACTGCACAATAATGCTTCTATTGCTTACTGACTACATCGCTATAGGGCTTGCACCACTTAGAATTGGATTCTGAACCCTTCCCATTGTCATGGATCACATTTTCCCTTATAACAGACCTCTGGAAGAATTTGGTCTCAGGCTTAGCTGACAAATCGCATTTGTGAGTCCAGACACAGCCAAGTATCTCACAGGAAACATCAAACTTAATAGCAGCATTATCTACAGCACTTGGAAAGTTCAAGAGCCTTAACTCCCACTAACTTTCATTGAGGTTTGTACTGCCAAATCAGTAGGGCAGGGATTCATTTCCCCTACTGTAACTATCTAAATCTTGGGCAGCAAGTCAAGTGAAGTCACTTAGGCTCCCCTTTGTAGTCAGAGGAAAGAGACAGTCACTTCCAGGGGACGATCCTTCCTGTCCCACCGTGTTCTGACTCCAAAGATGTATTTAAGACACACAACCCCAGGAGGGATTTTGCCCCATCTCATCTCTCTCCATGGTCTTAAGAGAGTGCCCAGTCAGTCAGTTCAGAGCAGACGCCAAACCTTCAGCTGGCAGCAGTTCGAAGAGATGAACTGGCCCCCGAACACTTGAGGAGGTCCCTCCCCTCTCCCTTGCACTGTAAATATTCCAGGCAACATTTTAATGTTACCAGCATTAACAAATGCATCTCGAATGGCTATTTTATCATTATGTTGTGTCGCTCGCCTCTTTCCAAAAGCGGGTGCAATCTTCCCGATATCAACAAAACCATTTTCAACTTTCAGATAAAAATCTATAAAGACAAGCAGAACAGGAAGGAAAGCATGAACAAGGACTGCAAATGAACAAAACCGCTCCTGACAAAGCACAGCAGAGGGGAGACAATTGATTATGCAGTATCAGGATCACAAATCCATATCTGAAACCCTTGATATGAAAAAACCATACACTTCTTCATGCTACCTGGACTAATTCAGAAGAGTGAGATTCTCCCATGTTAGCCTATTTACCCTCTCTCTCCAATGCTTACTTATTGGCCTGTCTACCCTCGCCCTGGTGCCTGACCGAGCCCCCGGGGATCAGAGGACCCCAGCCCCACCACCAGCCCCAGCCTTGAAGTCTCGTTAAAACGTGCATAGCTCAGGGTCACAGGGAGGACTGAGCTACCCAGCATATACAACTTGGGTTCGGTTTGATACCCCCATCTTGTCTTCCCTCCCACTCCACGTGGTATCTTACCAGATTCCTGGCTGCAGGATGTTGGGAAATCCCAGAGAAAGGGCCAGTGAACATGTGCAGGGTGACTATGAGCAGCAAGCCCAAGATCTCTGGGCTGCAAGGCAGATGTGTGCATATGCACAGTAAAGATGACACGTTCCAGGTGTCCCGGATTCAAGGTGCACACACAGACCAACTGCACAAGCACAGCAGCTCCAAAAACACGCCAGGCACATCAGATCATCCTTTTCTGTACTGCAAGTGCTGGCAGGTATCCACCAACCCCTTGACACTTCCAGCTCCAGGCTCCTACTTAACTGTACAGCAGGCAGTAGGTACTGTGTCTTCCAAGATCAGCCACGTAGAAACAGCTGACAGAAAGACAGGAGTAATTTCAAAAACATCTACGTGACTCAAGGACCTAAATTTGGTTTTAAAAATGACGTAAGAGTCCAAGTATCACTTAAATTCAGAGCCTTGTCTAGGAATAGTACAATGACTAAACTGCCCTCTGAAATAAATCACTGCTACCACCAACCTCCCTCTCTGTGGGACAACCACCTTCTGTAATTAACACTATCTGCCCACCTTCTGTACTGCCACGATGGTTTCTGTGGCAAGCCATTCCTCAACACGCTCCAGGACCTCACCAGCCCTTCTTAAATTTTTTATTTGATTTTAAGCAGAGGGTAATTTTACTATTATTCCTCAAACTAATTGTGTATTATTTCAAAACCAATCTCTACCAGAGCAGCCTCTGTTTATGTGTTAGGACCTCCAAACTCAGGCTATGGGTTGTAACTAAAATCTCAGAATTCGGGAATACTTTTCTTCACTGGTTTTCACTTGCTTTGACAAACATTTTAACGTTCGGTGGAGGGCACAATAATTTTCTAAAATGATACAATAATGACCTGATCCTGCAATTCTTTGACACAGATAAAACTCCCCAGTGGGATCAACAGGAACTTTGCCCACAGACATACTGTCGCGTAAGATCTTAGTATGTGCTCATTAACATGAAAAGCATTAACCTAACCAATCTGAAAAAAACAGCGCAACATTCTTACTGTCATCCCCCCTCCCAGGAACTGGTACAAAAGTGCTTTACAACATAGAATAAAACTATTGAATTTTAAAACTGATGTTAATAAAACATTGAGGTAACAGTTTTAACATTCAGATGACAGGGGACAGAAGAGTTAAAACTCTCTCTGTAGATCTCTGTCAGCCAGGTTGCTTATACAAGGGGCAAGTTTCCCCTCGGATACATTTACTAAACTCAGTCCAGAAATCACTGGAGGGGATCTAGGTAGCTCTGGCCTGCCCAGAGGGGAGCAGACACATGCCCTACCCCTCCTCTAAGGCGCAGCATGGATCTCAGCAGGGCTAACCATGACAAGAGCCGCCCTCCAGCACGAGTCCTGCTCTGAGGACCGAGCCTCCAGGCAGGCTTGCAGCACAGTCCTGAGTCACTGCTCATCACCCAGGAGGTGTCATGATGTCACTCCTCCGACGCCAGTGCGGCAAAACGCATCCACATCTGGCACAGAGCGGTGTCATTCCACCAGCGTCACTGCCCTAGCCGTGCGAGATGCAAACAACAGGAGCCTGCAGCAACAGTGGAAATGGGTCATTTTCGGCTTTGTACCATGAGGATCATGTCCACTACTTCTCTGATGTCAGACATCATTTCCCCCCACAGGTCTCTGCCCTGCTATTGCTATCACATTGAATACACGCAAATAAGGGCACTGGCCGTGGGGGGGACCAGATAGTGTCCCGTAACTGGTAGGATAAGTTCAAGAACAAGTTCAAAGCATTCAATCAATGCAAAAGAGAAACAAAATGCTGCAAGCATCACTGCACCAGAATGAGCTAGCGTTCAATAGCAAGGCTCTGGGAAGATACCTAACAGTTATTTTAGCAGGGGGAACTCCTTCTTCTACAGGAGTTGACAATGGTCACATGATCCATAAATCTATGAATAGAACCCATAAATAAAAAGATCAGTTCTTGAAATACTTCTGGAGACCGTCCAGAAAGTAGCATGGACCACGCTTGTCACAATTAAGCCTGCAACAAAAAATGACTTTTAGACAACTATCAAGCTCCTTACACCTTTTATAATAACTCAGTTTCAGAAGACTGATGGTTTGTCTGCTGTGGACCTATAGTGAGGTAGAAAGCTGGGAAGGCTATACTGATCCCTTATAATTTAGCTTTTTGCATACAGCTGCTCACATGACTGTAAGGGCAAGGATATTTTCAAAAGGAAGCATTCAACAAGAAATCAAATCAAGAGGCAACATAACACAGTGATGGCTGCTAACAGGTAACCTCCACATACCAAGTTCCCAAGATCACTGCTCAGTAAATACAAAACCAAAGGCAAACCCCTAAGTCCCTATTAATTTCTTATCCAGGCAAATTTCCCCTTAAACCATCAAAAAAACCCTTTGGATTTGATCTGCAAATAAGATTGGGTTGTCTGGCACCTCCCTCTCCTTCCCCTCTTCCTCCCACCCCCCAAATAAATCAGACACACAGTACATCTGTGGCCATATAATCCTCTCTCCCCTGACTCTAGACTAGCCAGGAAAGGCTGCCGATCAGATCTGAGCGTGGGCGCTGCACGAGGGCCAGACAGAGACATCTCAAGATCAAGGGTTTTGTCTACTTGACGAGCATCTGCCCCAGAACAGAGCGGATACAGCGCTGCTATTAGTGTCATCTTATAGCCCCGCTCGCAAGCTGGAGGAGAGAGAAATAAGGTTCGGCTTAATAACAGGGCCTCACATTCCTCAGCTCCAAAGCACA